TTTACCACTCCTGCTCCCTGGCTGTTATCATAGGCATCAACGTGATAGGTCTTGAATTTCCTCGTCGGAAGCTTAGCCTCGAACATCAGGTCAAGTTCCTCGTAGCTGCGACCTTTTGTTTCAGGCAAGCGGAAAAAAGCCCAGACAACACTGAGACACGCAAAGGCGAACCAAAAGAATCCAGTTTTGCCTGTGATCCAAGGATTAGTATTCGTGAGATCTAAAATGGGAGTGATGTACTAACCCTTCCAATTCCAGGCAGAAGGATTCATCATGTACGGCTGAATGACATTGGCAACAATTTGCGCCAGGTAGTATGAGGTTCTGGCCAAGACCACGGTCTTGGATCGCAGACGCGTGGACGAAACTTCTGCAGGGATGGCCCATCCGATTGGGCCAACAGTAAGAGAGAAGGTGAGGAGCCAGATTAAGCAAAGGATCGACTGGACCCATTTGACGGCGGGATTGGAAGTGTTGGTAGCTAAGGCGCCGATGATGAGAAGCCACATGCTCATGGCACTCATACCTGCGAGATACAAGTTTCGACGGCCGATGTGTCTCATCAAGAACCATGAAGCAATGGTACCACAGAATGCCATTCCAGTGCCGCCGAGATTGAGATTGTACGAGGTCTCCGAATCCAATCCTGCTTGCTGGAAGAAGTACGTGGCAGAATAAGCGAATTGGGCACCGCAGGTGATCTGACCAAGGAACGACACACAAGCAATCTCAGTACGGCGTACATCAGCGCTCTTGAAGCAATCCAAGTATGAAGTGCCTTCTGCAATCCGTTTCTCGGTCTCGTTCGTGTGAATCATCAGTGCAACTAAAGGCTTTGCTTGGGGCTTCTCGTGAGTGGCCATGAGACGGAGGACACTCTTCTCAGCCTCGTCGTATCGACCCTTGCGGACTAGATACCAGGGAGACTCGGGCATGAATATACAAGCGACGAACAGAAACGGGATCCATAGCCATTGTAAAGCAAAAGGAACACGCCATGCCCAGTCGTTGTCCCACTCGATGAAACTCTTGAGAACTCCAGCGCCAATGAGCTGGCCTGTTGCGAAGCACATGTTGGTGTATGCGGTAAGATATACGCGGAGAGGAAGCGGGCAGAGTTCCGAAGCATACGCAGGGCCGATCGTGGCGAAGATGCCCCAAGGGAGCCTTGGTCGCGAATTAGCCGAGGTGTCCAAGAGGGTAGAGCAGAGGGGAGAGCTTGGTCGACTTACCCGCAGAGAATCTGTCCCACTGCCTGAAGCTCAACAGACATGCCAAAGAATGACACCATGACGAAAGCAGCCATCAATACCACACCGAGAAGGAACGCAGGTCGATACCCAAAGCGCTGTATGATGAACCCATTCAGGATGGCACCAACGATGGCGCCGGCTTGCGGGCCGCTCCCCATGGCACTCTGCCAGCGGGCGGGGATCTGGTATGTCTTGGTTGCATCCTGATATTCTCCAAATCGGCGAGCGTAGGTAGGATATGCATAGAGCGAGCCAATCAAGATAGTGTCATAGCCTTCCATGATAATGGATAGTGATACAACGAGGGACCAGACGACAGCCCACGGGTACGACTTGAGGGCTTGGCGAACAGTGAGAGCATGTTCATGCGCATTTGCCGCCTGGGCTTCGTCCAAAGTAGCTTCCCAGGAGCCAGAACGGCCAAGCATGACGTTGGAATTGCTCTTTTCGTCGCGTGTATCGTGCCTAGCTAGGCCTTCGTTGTGCTCGACCGAATGAGCAGAGATGGTCTTCTCCATGGCCGGTAAAATGGTTCTGTTTAATGCTGCTGCTGATAACAAATACTGATAGTAGAAAGGGGAGATAGGTGAGAATGTCTGGCCTTGAATACTCGCAGCGTCCGAGCTCTATACTTTATACTTGGAAATGAAATGCCTGATTCTGGCGACTTGGAGTCCCCTTCAGCTGGGATACTTTGAAGTCGCATGACAGCCGAATTAGCTCTCAAGCCCCATGGGGAAACGTCACGAAGTGGCCGGAATGCGGAGAAGCAGACCACATCGGCGCCATGCGCTCAATGTGAGGCATTGGAAAAGCGTAAAGAATGTCCATTGATCTAGGCTCAAGACTAGGTTGGTCTGCCAGGTTCTTCGGGATTTCGTTGTGTTCTTGAGCCTTTAGCCCCTAAGGCTACACCTAATCAGGGACAAGCCTCGTGGGTGAAGATTTATGTCGGACAATCCACCCCCACAATGAAAAGCCGATATTGAACTACTGACAGCCACTAAACCTTTACGACCAATCGAGTATTGGTATTCGCCATGGATGTTCGCAATTATCGCTTATTCCACCCCCACTCTGTATTTCCTAGTACCAGGTGTTTCCTGATGCTTCCTCCGAAGTGCGAGAAGCAGAAGCGTGACCACAACCAGCGCCCGTATTGGGAGGGGTAGAGAAGGGCAAAGTGCTTGGATAGGTAGAGATCTGCATTTCTAACTTGTATAAGAGAAAGTGCAGGGTTATTAGATCTCTAGGCAATCCTGCCTTGTCTACTTCGTTCAAGTCATTACAGTCTCACCGTCTTTCCAATGGCAGATAACCCTGTTTTCATCTCCTGGCAGACCACCTCACTGACCATCAACTTTGTCAAAAATGAGTTTGGGGCAATTTGTCTTTATGAGATTCTCCCCTTAAATCATCGCCATCAGAAGTCTGCTTCACCCCTCTTTGCCTCGTCTGAGCTACCAATTGTTAGTGTCAGGCTCAATGGCGAAGGCAATACCAATGACAAGACGGCAAAATCACTTGTTGGCGGGTATCTGTCTTCCAGGCTGAAATACAAAAGTCATCAACAGAGTCATGATGCAGATATGCAGAGACTGGACATTCATAGTGAGGATGAAAAAGCCAGAATCTCAGTGACTGCTCATTTGAGCGTGTACAGAGATGTGCCTGTTCTTAGGTCAGCAGTCACCATCAGAAATGAATCCAAGTCATCGGATGTTATTGTCACTCAGATTTCATCCTTGACCATCGGTGGCCTCACAACAAGGTCGAATGAATGGAACAAAAACTATGCCCTTAGGACGGCAACCAATAGCTGGTTCAGAGAAGCTCAATGGCGCAAACATTCACTACCCGACATTGGCATAGACAAGAACGGCATCTGTGAGCTACATGATGGCCACTCAGGGTCCCAGGCAACCTATGGTCTCCAGAACAGGGGATCCTTCTCAACTGGCTCGTACCTACCGATGGGAATATTGGAGTCTGAGTCAAACTCGGATACCTGGGCTTGGCAGATCGAGCATAATGGATCCTGGAGATGGGAAATCGGCGACTACAAAGATAGCGTCTACATCGCGGCTGGAGGGCCAACAAAGGCAGACCACGATTGGAGACATACTCTCTGTCCCGGCGACAGCTTCACTTCGCCTCCGGTCTCGCTGACTCGGGTTTCTGGATGTTTCCAAGACGCTATCCATGCATTGAACGACTACAGACGACGAATCATTCGGCCGCATGATGATAACAAGAGACTTCCGATTATTTTCAACGACTACATGAACTGTCTCATGGGAGACCCTGACGAAGACAAGATCGAGGCTCTGCTTGATCCTGTAGCCCAATCTGGAGCCGAATACTTTGTCATCGATGCCGGCTGGTACGCTGATGATAGCAACTGGTGGGATGACGTTGGATTGTGGGAACCTTCAAAGAGGCGTTTTCCCTCTGGATTCAAAACTCTGATGGACAAGATTAAGAGTAAAGGCCTCATTCCAGGGCTATGGTTGGAGCCTGAAGTCGTGGGCGTCCGGAGTGCCGTTGGTGAAAGACTACCAGAGGATGCGTTCTTTCACGAGAATGGGCAACGGGTTGTCGAGAGAGGGAGATTTCAACTCGACTACCGCCATCCGGAGGTGCGAGCCTGGATGACCAGCGTCGTCGATAGACTGGTGGTCCATTACGGAGCTGGTTTCTTCAAGTTCGACTACAACATCGAAGTCATTCAAGGAACCGATGCTCCAGGCCCATCTTCCGCTGGTGCCAACCAGCTCCTCCACCAGAGATGCTATCTCGACTGGGTCCGGTCACTTCTTGACAAGCATCCAAACCTTGTGATCGAGAACTGCTCCAGCGGTGCACAAAGAATGGATTACGCCATGCTGTCAGTCCACTCACTTCAGTCCACTAGCGACCAGCAAGACCCTATCCTGTACGCTGCCATCGCTGCAGCTCTGCCAACATGTGTACTGCCTGAGCAAAGTGCGAGCTGGGCATATCCTCAGCCGGAATGGAGTGACGAACTCAATGCCTTTACTGTAGTGAACAGTCTGCTGGGAAGAGTCTATCTTAGCGGTAGAATTGATCGTTTGAGCCCTTCGCAGATGGAGCTCATCATCGAGGGGATGGATGTTTACAAGATGATTCGCCAGCATCTTGTGACGGCACATGCTATCTGGCCTCTGGGACTACCTCGTTGGCATGATGATTGGATATCGCTGGGATTGGAGACTGATAATGGTCTGTACCTTTCTGTGTGGCGAAGAAGCGGTAGCTGCTCCATGGAGATACCGCTACCAAGATTGGCTGGCAGCTGCAATGTCCAGGTAAACGTCTTGTATCCCAAACGACTGCCTACTCAAGCCATCTGGAACGAAGGACATGATATTCTAGAGCTCAAATTTCCTGAGACGAGGTGTGCTCGAGTTCTTCATATAACTACCTAGATAGACAATTGATCATGCAGTACGTTCTAGTCTTATTCTTTTGTCTCTCTTTCCCATTGACGCGTCAGTGGACGAGGAAGCACATTTGGGGACGCGTTAGGAGGCTTTTGAGCAAAGGTAGCTTGTTACCTCCTGCTACCAGACGAAATACTAGTCTGCTGGGGAAGTGGTTCATCCGATTCTGCCGACAGTTCCCCAGCGCGATAACATCGACTCTGATAGAACTTCAGGAGACGCAGACTCTCTTCGCAGCAACCATCCTGGGGCCATGTCGTACTGTATGAACTGCAACATAAAGATGGGTTTCACCCCTATCAAGTTTAGTCTGATCTTCGTGCATGTACTGACTTTCTTGCTTTTCACGGACTGGGCGCTAGACACGCTACATGGTTTCTATGAAAAGGACTGCCCCCCGAAAAAGTGCTCATTGGTGCGGAGTTTAATCAAGAAGAAGTCCTTGGCCATTCTGACGGCATTCTTGGCGCTCGTGCCTATGGCTTTCAGGCTCGCTGACCTAGTCCGATTTTACAAGGGATTGCGCGATCGGTATACTCCTAAGGGTGGATTGCCTTGGTCATTTGGACAAGTCACGGCAGTAGCAGTCTGGCTCCCTGTGGTCTGCAAGTTCTTGCACTATTGTGAATCCTGCCCATTAATCCTTTTCCTTCCGTATGCGGTTGCTGACTTATCTTGCATAGGCGTAGTAAAAGATGGTGTCCAGGCCCGCATCGATAAGGACGAATATGTCGTATCACGTCGCGAGACCGCCATTTCAGAATTGAAGAGTTCTGAAGAACCTGGGCTGGATAATGTTTCCTTGATTAGACCTGCTGTTCCGGGAAGCAAGGTCGAGGCGGAGCCGATTGAGATGCGAGCCTCACTGGATGCTTCGGTGGAAAGCTTGCTCATGATACCACATGCAGGCTGGAGTCCTGACATGGAAACCCCATGAGTCGACTTTGTTGAGATTTGTTGGGTTTGAATGTGTTTGTGTGCCGTTTCTGGATTTGGTGGTATTGAATCATGGTCATCAGGGAAGATGATAGTGAAACCAATCAGATCCAGCTCAATTTCCGCATCATAGTATTCATTTCCCTAGAGGCATGTTCTTGAGTTCCACCTATAGCTGCTTCTGCATCTTTAGACCTGCAATATTCTCCATAAGACACCGCTCTGCCCAGAAGCTACGAGAGATAGTGCAGGGTACTATATCGATCAGCCCGTGACCGGTTGAGCCATTTCTTTCACATATCTTATTCTTCCTTAATCTACTTTATCTCTTTAGTGCCCACTATAGATTCTTTGTATCCAAGCTTATTATTTAAGAATATTTGAAGTTAATATGGTTAGTGACTATTAGTAAAGTTTGGAGAACCCATGTTCACCCTAAGGACTGTACAGCATGTTAACAGGCCCCAAAGAACAAGGATGCAAATATGTTAATCCGACCAAATAGAGTTTAGCTATCTTTTCTACCGACTATTCCGGGAGAAAAGTAGCAATGCCACGTTGTTTTATTTTGCATCAAATACTCCGTTACTTGACTGATACAGTAGCCGTGTATGCCACAGGCAGTTACTGACTTCACAACATCCTTTGAACTGTTTGCGACATTATGATTTCCTCCACGCTCCTACTTTCAGCTTTCATTGCTGCCGCCCAAGCGATTGACGTTGATGTTGCGGTCGTAGGCGGCGGGGGATCTGGTGGTTATGCTGCTGTCCAGCTGCGAGAGAACTATGGCCAGAAGATTGTAGTCATTGAAAAGCAAAAGCAGTTGGTACATAAAATGGGTGACCTATTGATGGCGAACGGCTGACATTTTGTAGGGTGGTCATGCACAGTCATGGTACGATCCCGTTACTGGAAAGGCGTACAACTATGGTGTTGACGCATTTACCAACATCTCCATCTCAATTGAATTTTTCCGGCAACTCAAAGTTCCTATCGGGCCACTCCAGTCTGTACCCGCAGAGAACTTGTACGTCAACTTTGAAGATGGCAAAACAGTTGACTATACGCCTCCCACCACGAAAGAGGCCGCTGATGCTATGGGCAACTATCGTGACCAGTGGCTCAAGTACACCGACATCCTTTTACCTACTAGCAAGCATTTCCCGCGAGGTTACAGGGTTCCGTCGGATCTTTTGCTGCCTTGGTATGAGTTCGCGCGCAAGTATCAAGCAGAAGCCGCAAGCCCGAGCATCTGGGATATTGTCGTCGTTGATCTCAACACTGCGTTGATGATTGATGTATGGAAGGCATGGAATCCCAGCGTCGGATCGTTTCAACCAGCATCAGGTGATAATACGGAGATTTGGAAAAAGGCTGCAAAACTCCTGGGCAAAGACGTCCTCTATGAGAGCGAAGTGATCTCCGCTGAGCGAACCAAGAGCGGAGTGAAGCTTGAGGTTAGAGATAAAGATGGGCACATCACAAAGGTCAACGCCAAGCGACTTCTGATCACTATCGGACCGGAGACAATCAACCCGAAATACTTTGACCTGGCCAGTGAGGAACTGGAAGTCTTCCATTCCGCTGCCGGCAACCGCTACTTCACTGGCATTGTATCTCACCCTTCTCTGCCCGCAGCTGAGATCACCAATGTTGTTCCAGCTGCCATCAACGCAAACTACCTCGCGTACCCAACAGTCCCCTTCCAAGCATATTTTCACTATAAAGGAAACTCCTCCACTGGACCTATCCACCGGGCACTAGCTGTCGTCCCGAGAGAGACTTCAATTGACGATGCCAAAGACCTTATCCGCAAATCAGTTCAGAATCTCATGGATGCTGGAACAATCCCAGCTGGAAACTCTACGGATCTCGATTTCAGAACTTTCTCGGATCATGGACTGTTATATAGGCGCTGGTCTGCTGAACAGCTGCGTGATGGTATCTTTGCAAGGGCCAATGCTCTCCAGGGTCAGCGATCGACTTGGTACACTGGGGCTTTTTGGATGAACAACGATTGTGTCATGTTGTGGAACACTACCAAAGCCATCTTGAAGGAGATGCTCAAGGACACATAAATCAAATTAATTCGGTCTGCTTGGTTTGTAAGGGCTTGGTGCACCCAGCCCTCCCTAACTTCGCTTCTTTGTAACGACCAGCAGGATTTGTCAAAGCGACTTCCTGTTCTGTCTAGGTCAAATGCCAACATCCTATTAACATTCTCTTATTTATCAGACCTAACCCAGTAAATAGAAAGCGATATGATCTCGCAATAAAGGTCAAGAGCCTTCGAAACCGTCAGTTAATCAGAAGCTTTTGGCTTCAGCTCAACGTGGTTCTACCATTCCTATCAGAAACACATTATATAATGAATATGTAGGAAAAGTGTCTGTAACCATCTGATTTCACTTTTGTCTAGCACGACATGCCATCCTTCTGACCCCAAACCCAGTGCAAATTCGTTCCCACCTCGACTCCGTCCTCAGTCTCCCTGGTAAGCGTTTGAACCAGTGACTTTATCCCACTCTCAGTCAGCCCCAGGCTCTCGTCCTGATCCAATAACAAAATACCGTTCAGGCTTTGCGCCATGTACTCCAAAGCCACTCTGGTGATGACTGGGGTCAGGTCAGGTCTTCCTAGCATGATGAAAACCTTTTCATCTACTTGTTGCAAACCAGCCTCTCGAAATTGACTTTGTAGGAGGACAGGACACCTTGCACATGTTAGCAGACCTTTCAAGTAAACACATTGGAGACTGAGGGTTTGGGCACTTACTTGGGGTCACGTCCGAATTTGACGGCCGCTGCAGACTCGATCCTCTTCCACTCATGGAGGGCAGCCGAGTATGGGTTACTGGCGTATCCATAGGCTCCTATCTCGGACCAGAACAGGTATCCATTCGGCTTGAGCAGTGTCTTGAGATTCTTTACAGCTTGAAGCCACTCATCCTTCTTCAGCGCTGCATACAGTAACTTCACATGTACCAAATCATATATTCCCAAATACTGTTTTGGAAAGGGTTCTAGCACGTTGCCGTACTGCAACTTGACATTTGCCGGCAAGGAAGTAGTTTCGTGGAATTTCCTTGTGTCAATGTCGAACCCGTCAAGCTGTGCCTCCTCGGTCACTCTGGCAGCAAGCTCCTTGAGAAATATCCCAGTTCCTGTGTTTGCGTCTGCGACTTTGGGGGCTGAAACAGACTTCAGATGCTGCCAAATGACGGGAGGAAGATCACCACGAGTGATATCTTTGAAGACGTCATGTTGAAGGTCAAGGCGCTGCCGTTCCCTGTCGGCGTCGCCATGATTGAGGGTGTAGATTGAGGGCATTCTGAACCGCTTGGGTGATAATGTAGATACTTGCCGTCCGTTAGGTGCTTATATGTGAGGCTAGGACATGGTGCGGAAGCCCGGAATAACATGTCGGCAGTTCATTCTTTGTAAAGAATCGTCCCCGATGTACCAATCCGAGCTTGCCGATCAGGGTCTTATTATGCAGCACATTGGACACGGCAAATCACAATTATTACCAGTATCACACACAGCGCCTTCGGAATCCGAATACGAGATTCTACGCTGACGTTGGTCTCCGCTTACGGCGCCGCTTATGTCGGCAGGCTTATAGATGCTGCAACAACTTGGCGTAATTTTCAGTTCATAAGCTAAGATTAGTGTTACCATAGCATGAAACCATCCCTTCAGATTATAATCTGATCTTTCCCAAATTCGTAAAAGAAACTTATGCCTGTTAGGAGGCATAATTGTGGTAGTACCGACTGGGATGTTGCAGTCCTTCTAGTTTATTTCATCAACCCTTCTATACTGCGCGTTGGCTCCTCTTGCCAACTGACTTTCCTTGATTTGAGCAACACTCTCAAGCTTTCTCCTTTAGCTTCGCTTGCATAGCACCTCTCATAGCCTCAATCGGAGCTTCTTTTCCGGTCCACAACTCGAATTGGGCATATGCCTGCTCCTCCAGAACATCAACGCCCCTGTACACCTTCCAGCCAGGATATCGCTCAGCGACTGTCATCATTCCTGTTACTTGCGGTCTGTATGCCATCTCTACCAGCACTCCATCTCCAGTTCCTGAGAACAAGCTACTGGGAATCTTCTCAGCTCCAAGATCGTCAGCCGGTATACAGGCAACGATAAACCTGATCTGAGCATCCTTTGCAGTGGCAGCCTCCTTCAGTGTTGTAAATGCCCGGGTCTTGAGGTCTGGAAACCTTGACGCTAGATCCTCAGCCTTGCTCAAAGTCCTGTTGACGACAATGAGCTCTCCAAAGCCGAGGGTCTGGACAGCGTAGCATGCCGCTCTAGCAGCACCTCCAGCACCCAGCACTAGAGCTGACGCAGAAGCAAAGTCTCGAGCTCCAGACTTCTCAACACATCTCTTGATACCTATCCAGTCCGTGTTGTCGCCATGAAGCACTCTTTCACCATTGAATTCAGTGACAACAACGGTATTGATAGCTCCAATGCTCTCTCCTCTTGGAGAGAGTGATCCCAACAACTTTCCGATCTGTAGCTTGTGTGGAAACGTGACAGATGCGCCGCCAAAGTCGGGTCGTTGAATTATGCTCTCAACTGACTCATCAACATTCTCGCTCTCGTGGATTTGGTAGTGATGTGGCAGGTTCAGAGCTTTGAAGCCGGCGTTATGAAGTGTCGGTGATAGAGAGTGTGATATGTTGTGGCCAAAGATGTAGAATTGCTTCTGGCCGTCGGCTTTGGCACCTTGCGGCACAGCATCTGACGGCTGGGCCATTTTATTTGTTGCAAAGCCGCTGTCGTTATTGGGCCGTTGGTGGGCTGGTGTTGTATCGTCTGCAACCATATTGAACCGATCAACGAAGTGTCAAGAGCGTGGTTGATGATGTGAGAGTACTGATCTCCACGACATCAGAGCATTAAATCACCCGATCCGTCGAATTGATAAGAGTGGAGCACTGATTGTTGTGATAGACCGGTCACCAAGGAAAGTGGGAAAGAACTTTGCCGGCCGGAGCAACATCCACTACTGGGCGGCTTTAGTGCATCCCCCTCCGTTAAATCGTTTAGCAGTTTCGTTTTAGACACAGGTATCCTCAACGGCCCATTTCTAGCCACTTTCCGAGAGTCATGATATGTCTAGTGTAGTGTGCAGCTATTGTGGCTGATTCGTGCGAGTCCTCACAGTCTCGTGGGTGTGGCTCGCAACCGAGTATATTGCCAGGATATTGAACAAGCTATTATGCGTGCTTTTTCAAACTAGAAACCCATGTCAAACAGATGCTCAAGATTACTAGGGGCATCATCAAGCATTCCCAGGTGCTGCATGAACTCTGGTGGGTTTGCCAGCCTATCTGCTCGTCAGTTACGAAAACGGTGTCTATTCTTTATACACTTACCAATCCGTCGAGTCCAACGTAGCGAGACTGTCGAAAAGACCGTCATCTTCAATGTTTGACCCCAAGGTTGGGTCTATTGGGAATGACATTCCGCTTGGTGGTTGTGAAGGTACTGCATTGTCCGGCACTGATGTGTCCACCTTGCTCGACAGTAGTGTTGATGGAGTTGGTGGTAGTTCGAACTGGGATGGCACTGGTCTCTTCCCGTGTATTGGAATTAGTGAATGACTCTCTTCACCAGCAGATATAAGCAGTGAATCGTTCAAGACATCATCTTGGGACATTCCGCCCAGCGGCTCTTGCAAGATATGCAAACATCTCGCAACAGCTTCTTTGGCGCAATTAGAATCATCGCCGAAATTACTAGGAGCATAATGCGCTTCCTGCTGACGAAAAGACCGCGCAGCTAATTCTATACAAGCTTTGATAACAGGTGAGATAGCACAGCGACCTATGATCCGGACGCGTTTCTCTGTGAGGCTGGCCAACATTGAAACATTCTCCCAGTAGCCTCTTGGGCGTTCGAGGATAGGACGGTGGGAGACCGAAGCCTCAGTTGCTACCATTTCAAAGATGGTTGCTGAAGCTATGCAAAGACCAAGAGCCTGAGGTGACATGCTGGTGGATCTCAGGCTATCCATAGCGCTCAAGTTCTCCTTGCATAAGTCCATGAGCTTGCTAAAGCTCCCGACCGTGGCAAGATTCTTTTTGTGGTGTATCAAATTGTTCAAAAATAGAACGACCTGGAGTGATCGGTTGAACGTACTTATCACATGCCCCGGAACATGCAAGTTTGTGTTCTGTTCGTCTTGCTGAGATTCTGGTTCAGCGAGGATCTTCAGGTTCCATGGTTCCCATTCCTCATTCCCATCAGCCAACAAGCCGCCTTGAAGGAATATATTGGAGGGTGTGAGGTATGGTAGCGTATCTAGACGTGCTGCGACCATGGTTTCTAGTAGTGCGCAGCCCATAGTTGTCCGTTTTACACCATCCCGGCTTGACGGATCAACGGCGGTGCCCTGGGAGAATAGGCCAAGGGATATTGCTGTGTATATGGCTCGCCCGATTGTAGTCCATGCTACAGACCAACGGTTCTGATCCATTTCAAAGAGGCATATGATAAGCAGAGCTCGAACATGTCCGAGATCAAAGGCAGTTGGCTTCGCGAATAAACTTGTCTCGAGTAGATTTCGTGGCAAGTTGGGGTACTTTAAATCAGTCGACTTTCCGCTACGAGTTTGTGATAAGGTTGTCGACTGATGTGAGGCGTATGCAAGGACAGCATGAAGGAAGGCTATTTCTCCAGATGATAGTGAACTAGTAGATGCTGTCGATGGTTCGTGAGATAACGTGTAAGCAGCGCGCAGAAGTTCGTGCTTTTGCGATATAGGGAACCAGCAATGCGTCGTCTCGAAATAAAGGTCTAAGAGATATGACCAGTTCTTCGGAAGGTCAGGGACAGCTGATGGCAGGGAATCCAGGCATCGTGATGCGGGTTCTGGTTGGCGGGTGATGGTGTCATGAAGCGTTGTCTTTTCGATTTGATGAGGGGGTGAAGTTGATGTAGTAGGTAAGGGAGAGTAATCAAAGGTTGGTAGGCCTGATTGTGTTGTAATCGTATCTCTTGGCGTCATTGGAGCCCCTGTGCCATTCTTTGTCGATACCAAAAGTGTAAGACCCTCGACCACCTTTGTGTCGAAAATCTGACTTGAGTCGGCACCTTCTTCATCAAACTCACCCTCTGCAGACAGAAGACTTCCCATTTTCTTCGATACCGAGGATTTATGCCATGTTTCGAGTAGAAAATCGACAGAGATATTTGCATCGTGGAGACCAGATGCGGGACAGAAGGATGATTGTTGAACAACACCCTCCAGAAGCCCACATATCCAATCTTCGCTCCCCTGGATGGACTTAAAGATGAGTCCCAGTAATGTTTCGATGCCTCTCACATAACCCGGCCGTAGTCCTCGCTTCTTTGAGGGTCCATAGCTGCATGTCCGGTTGTTATCGATGCAAGACTTGCACGATGGCCTTTGGCCACCGCATCTATCTTTCCTTCTCCTACACTCGTTGCATGCTCGTGTAATTCGATGTCGATTACGTCCATTGGGCCCCTTGTCTGAAGTCTCGGTATCGGTCCTTGCACGTTTTGAAGCTCGTGGACTAGCTTCTTGCTGACCTCTGCCTTTCGAGTCTCGGGAAGTCGTCGACATTATGAGGCTTAAATGCTGTGAGATTATTCTTTCCTCACATTCTTGTGTGTATCTCAACTGCCGGTGGTTGACGCCGGCCAGATTTCATCGACACTCGAATTCATCAGACTCACTCATCACAATCATCTTTCTCCATCCTTTCCTAATCCAGTAAGTGTTGTGCGGGGTGACTGGGTCTAACTGGAGCGGCAGAAATTTCTGCCGGTGCCATTTGATTGGTTTGGGATATGCCGCGGCCACTTACCTACCCTGGGCGAGTATCAAGGGTCGGCAATATGATTAAACACATTGAGGGCAAAGGCGTGGCTGGCCGCTATGAGAACAGTACCATGTCCTCTTGTGTGCCCATGACTCTGGCTGCTCAAAGACACATCGCTTGGATTTATGCCTGATGTCTCGACGAGTCCACGAAGCGCACAATCGACCTAAGCGTCAAAGAATTATGGTTAGCCCCAGCAAGACGTCAGTGAAAATTATGGCAGCTTCAGCAGCAACAACGCCTCTGGGGCTTTCGAGGATACCAACTCCTCAAACGCCACTCTCAAGAAAAACTACCCCCGACCATTCTCACCCTAAACACAACTATGCACCAAATGCATCTATAGCGCTCATCGGCATGCGAGGCAGTGGCATGTCAACGCTAGCGGTCATGGCTTCAAGCGCCTTGGGTTTTCGAATTCTAGATGCGGATCAGTACTTCTACAAAGCCACAGGGCTTTCTAGAGCAGCATACAAGGCAACTAGCGGCATCTCTCAATACCGACAAGAGGAGTTGAAACTAATGAGATCTATGCTCTTCGACAACCCGACTGGTGCAGTTATTGTGTGCGGTCCTGGTGTTGTTGAAGGCACTGGAAAGGAATGGCTTGCCGAGTATGCCAAGGATCATCTCATCATTTACATTCTGCGAGACGCTGAAGAGATTCAACGGCATCTGAGAGTATTCGACGTGAAAACTATCCGGGATCTCACACGTCGTGCAGCACCAGCTTACCGGAATCTGTCAAGTTTTGAGTTCTACAACATCTCAGATATGACACTTTCCAAGCCGGATACTGCAACCTCACGCGGCGATATATCGCCTAGGGCTCTTGCACTGAAGAAGGTTGAAGAAGACTTTCTGCAGCTGATATACAGCATCACAAGACGAGACGACTGCTACAGCAAGTACAAAGCAAAGAACAGTCTTTCTTCCATACCACTCGAGACCAGAAAGTTTACGTACTCTTTGTCCTTACCACTATCAACACTCAGCTCGCTCATCACCGACTTTCGTGGACTGGACACGGAAGCAGATGCTCTTGAACTCACAATACCGGATTCAAGTCTTGGAAGTGAGGTTAACAGCAAGGACACTGCCACAGATAAAATCAGCAGGCATTTCTTCGTCGTCAGGAGAAATATACGACTCCCAATTATATACCATATCGATACATACGGAAGTGAAAGGAGAATCTCCGAGGATGAGTACTTTGAGCTTTTACATCACGGGCTACGCCTGGCTCCGGAGTACCTCTGCGTCGATCTCAAATGCGACGCAGCCAAGATTCAGAACCTCATTACATCTAAACGCCAAACGAAGATCATCGCACACCATGTCGTTGCCGATCCAGCAGAAGATGGCTGGAACTTACCAAAGCAATGGGCCATGATTGAGCGAGCTCAAAGTCTCGGATGCGACATCATTCGTATCTGTCAAGAGGCGAGGTCCGTGGAAGACAACTTCGCCGCCCAGCACTTTATCCACCGAGTCAATTCGTCACCAGATCATACCATTCCATTAATAGCATACAATACGGGCCGTCTTGGACGCATGTCATGCTATCTCAACCCCATCCTCAGCCCAGTCACTCACCCACTGGTCCGAAGGCTGGCCCAAGATTGTCCATCCAATGTTCTGCTCACAGTTCAAGAAGCGCAGAAAGCAGTCTTCTCATCCTTTCTTCTCGACAACCAATATTTTGGCATCTACGGAAATTGCACGTCCAAGAGTCTATCACCAGCGATGCACAATGCGGCCTTCAAACTACTTGGCATGCCGCACCGATACAACATCTTCCTTCGGGAATCGATAGACCAGCTATCTGAGCTCATCAAAGATAACACTTTCGGAGGGGCCAGTATAACTGCACCGTTCAAGACTGCTATACTACCCATGCTTGACTTCTTGAGTGAGGAGGCAAAAGCCATTGGAGCTGTCAACACCCTTCTATGTCTGAAGAAGGCTACGATGGACTCTTTACTTGAAAGAAATACGGCTGGACCAACAGTAGCTCTGTTTGGTGAGAACACTGATTGGATTGGTATTCATACCTGCGTTCAGCGAAATCTATCTCCTATCAATGCTGTCAGAAGACGGACGACAGGGCTCATCATTGGTGCTGGAGGTATGGCCCGTGCTGCTGCGTACGCTCTCATTCGACTCGGCGTGAAGACTATTCTGATTCACAACCGAACTCGGTCAAGGGCAGAAGAACTCATCAAGCAATTCAATAACCAGTACAAAAGAGAAATAAGGAGGTCTACGGCGGATGGCATCGAGATAGAGATCGGAAGTCATGATGCCCCATCGTTTAGAGTAATTGGTTCCAAAGACGACGTATGGCCTGAAGACCTAAGCCTACCCACAATTGTCGTCTCGTGCGTGGCAACACGAGAAATCGATGGGCAGTGCTCAGCAGACACGAGTCTCCCAGATCATTGGCTTTCAAGCCCGACTGGTGGCGTCGCAATCGAGGTAAGCGCTAGTATTGCATTGCGTGGTGGAATCAAGCTAATATACATTCACAGCTATCGTACACACCACTAGAGACTCCATTGCTTAAGCAAATTAAGTCGTTATCAGAGAAGGGATGGATACCTGTTGATGGTCTGCAGGTCCTACCAGAGCAGGGAATGATGCAGTTTGAGTTATTCACCACGAGGCGAGCACCAGCTAATCTCATGAGAGACGAGGTGTTTAGAGCATATAAGGAGCGATTAGAAAGAGAAGCGGATACATAGGCACGTAGACAAGGCAATGACATCTATCAAGGCTATAATACCACCATTGCCCGTAAATGTCCACAATGACTCTTCTCTGTATTAGAACGTCCATATCCTGTCACTATACTTAGTAAGGCACCGGATGTAAAATCTTGGATAATGACTTACCCATTGAACCTCGGGAGTTGCATCCCCGGTTGACGTCATCGGAACAGTATTTTGCCGGCTCACTTCTGTCAGTCTGGCCTCGAGCGACACCATGCCACCAATTGAATACATGAGATAAAGCACTACCTAAAGCCAACGACATTTCATCGCCCTTAGTTCATCTAGCCACTAAATCAAACAAAATGAGCGTTTTCCAGCCTGCAATCTTGTCAGCCTCGCTCGGCCGAGCATGGCTCCACGACTTCTCCAACAAAGCCAAACAGGCTTCAGAGCATGGCTTCCAAGGCATCGAAGTCTTCTATGAGGATCTTGAATATGAGGCAAAAAGACTGCACAGCGTCGAAACTCCCAGCAATGATCAGATTCTTGCTGCAGCATCGCATATTCGAGAGCTGCTGAATGGCTTGAAGCTTACAGTCATTGGTCTTCAGCCATTCTTGTTCTATGAGGGTCTGAAGGACCGGGAGCAACACGCTCGACTCATCGAGAAGATCAAACTGTGGTTCAAGATCGCAAAGATCTTGGGTACCAATACGATTCAGATTCCTGCCAACTTCCTCCCGGCTGATCAATTGACCGGCGATATGGATGTTATAGTAGGAGATCTCGTCGAACTAGCTGATCTGGGCATCAAACAAGACCCCCCGATTCGTTTTGCATACGAAGCTTTATGCTGGAGTACGCATGTAGACACTTGGGAGAAATCCTGGGAAGTGGCCCAGAAGGTCGATAGACCTAACTTTGGCCTCTGCCTTGACACATTTAATATCGCCGGACGTGTGTGGGGTGATCCAGCTTCTCCAACTGGCAAGACGCCCAATGCTGATCAAGACCTAAAAGAATCCTTAGAGAGACTTGTCAAAGAAGTCACACTGGATAAGTTATTCTATATCCAAGTCGTTGATGCTGAAAGGATGGAAACTCCCCTTGTCAAAGGACATCCATTTCATGTTGACGGAAACCCTGCTAGGATGAATTGGTCGCGAAATGCCAGGGCTTATATGTATGAGACGGATCGAGGTGCATATCTCCCTGTTGAGGATATCGCAAAGGTGTTGATTCATGACATGGGCTACAAGGGATACGTCTCGATGGAGTTGTTTTCACGAACTATGGCTGAGGAGGGGCAGGATGTTCCGAAGCAACATGCCGAGAGGGGCATCGCAGCTTGGAAGAAATTTGTTGAGAGGTTGAAGTTGAACCAGATCTAGATGTGTAGTAATGAAACCAAGGACATAGGAATACTTCTGGCTACCTCCAGTTCGTAGCAAAGAATTTCAGTTCATATTAAAGTCACTGGGTCTTTCATGAAATGTCTCATGAAAAAGCTTAAGTAGATTAAATCTAAAAGTTGATACCGGGACTCTTCTCAGCCGAGTCGATAAGAACCTTCCACGCTCCCTCTCTATCAAGCTTCTTCACCCTCTCTTCACCAGTCCAAAGCCTCCACTGCTCTTCAATCTGATACCCAATAACATGCGTTCCTTCAACCGTAGGCCAGCCCTTCTGCTCCGCCAGCTTGATCATTCTCGTCCTTCTCGGCTTGAAGCACATATCAAGTAACACTCCCTTTTCAGGTCGAGAGAGGAACTCTTCCAGGTTGGCTCGAACAGCAAGTTCATCTGGTGTTTGAGGCTCAAAGTCAGGCACTGTGCCGACGACGTAGTATGGTGTCTCAAGCTTCTGCGCTTCTCCCTCCTTGACGTGGATGATTGTCGGAACAGGCGAAAGTTTCTGAGAGTCCCGCATCAGATCTATCACTTCTTGCTCATCGCGATTCAACACGTAAATGATGGAAGATTGAAAGTACGAGCTGAGCGCATAAACAGCTGCTCGACTAGCTCCTCCGGCGCCAACGATCAAGGCTGGCTTGTTCAGAACAGGTACACCAGCTTGATCTCCCTTCTCGAGAAGACAGCCCTTGATTCCGCGCCAATCAGTGTTTGTCCCACGTAACTTTTTAGGATCTTCCCAGTCTCGGTAGACGTTGTTGCAAGCGCCGATGGTGGCAGCAAGGTCGTCTAACGCATCGAGCCGAGGAATGATGGCGTTCTTGTAAGGCATTGTAACAACCAGGCCTGCTGTAGTGTCTTTTCGCGCAAGGTCCATCAATTCATCGAGGGTAGCGCATTCCGTAGCGTAGAATGTCCATGGGAGCCCGAGGGATTGAGCAATATGGTTGTGCATTGGCGGAGCGATCGAGTGACCGACGCCAATGCCAACGAGATGCAAAGTGCGCTGTTCTAGGTTTTCTGAAGCCATTTTGACGATGATTCTCTGGTATGATTCAATCTGAGTACTATGTCATATTCTGATCTTGAGTTTAGTTTATCTATGTCATTTGCTTCCCCATCCTTTAGGCGCGGAGTATTCTTCTGCCGCTTTGGGGAGCACTCTCCGCTGGACTAACCCCTCACTACTCCACTACGGCTCTGATACTGAATCCCGACAGTGCCTGTTCCCGTCTTATGCAGAGATCTATCAACTATACAATAGTGAAAGTTCTACTACCCCATTCCTTGACCATCGGCAATTGGCAGTATGAATTGGGGTTATTCTCCCGAAGACGCGCGTTAAAGAAGCCCAACCTTGAGCAATCAGTGTCATTCTTCTTTCGCAAGACTAAGCCTGCCGTGAGTTCATGAGTTTTAATAGCAAGTAATGTTACTGTGGCCCAGTCTGAGTCAGACTCTTCTGCATCGGGACAAAACTTGATATTAGCGTTAATATACCCTCCATCAGCCGTCAAGTACTTCAGATGATGCCCCCCAGGATTCTTCCGATGAGACGTACTTCTGCTACATTTCCACTCCAGGTCCAGTGCAGGCCCCGTGACACGAAGAGTACCGCATTTGACAGACCCAAAGGGAGCTCCTGGCTGATCGAGCTCATACTCAATAGAGTCCACTGATGAGACATTTCTTCCGTTACCAAAATCGCATGTAACTGCTCTGTTAATAGCAGTCCAAGACCAGGATGGTCCCTGATTACTTGGTCTTGGGCATGAAGCTCCAGAACTGGTTTCCCAAAGAAGCGCTTGAGGAAGGTCATTCACCCATAGGCCAGCGGCGTATTTTCCTCCGCGTATGCGGCTGAAAATCTGTGCTAGGCCCGATATTGCGAGAATCCTATCAGTTGGCCTTGTGAGGTTTCGTCTGGTGTATAGCTCAACCAGATACTTCCACTCCAACCTAATGGAACGATCGTCAGGTCTTGGGTGATCGTATTCGGGATGAGTGCCGAAGAAGGCAATAGCATCAAGACGGTGCGTGTTTTTGAACACTGTCTTGTCACTCCAAATCCAAGTTGCTTCAAACCTGAAAGGGTCACCTCGTTTTCTATCCAGACTCCATCCGTCACAGTTTCCCTCACGTTCCTTGCGGCAAGACCACACTGTCGTCAACGATCCGATAATGAGCAATCGGCGAGACAGTATGTATTCTTGCAATGTCCAACCCCTTGTATCTAAGAAATTTTGGTCTTCATCTCTTTCCGGAACTTGGAAGGTCAATATGCATTGTCTTGTTTCTCCAGCTTCGTCTCGGACCTCCACGACTGTTGTTCCTGAGGGAAGTGACCTCGGGTGAAGAAAGCCAGTATGAGCGTCTGGTGCCCTTTTGGCTGCAATTGTGAAAGCTGCGTGGGTATAGACTTGTGTCATCTGGCCGATCTCAATTTCTTTATGGGATCCTTTTCTGTCTTGGATGATGCAGAGAGAATCTACCCAGATGAATCCAATTCCAAGCTTGTGCGATGTCAGAATGGCATCTTGGATCGTCCTAGGAATGTCTTCCCAGGGTATTCGGTCCTGTACGAGTCCTTATTGCTTTCTTTCAAACAATTATTCAAGTCACCCCCCCAGCAATAGCTCAGAGCTGTGTACTCGGTGTCTTTCTCTAGCGAATTTCCTTCAACAAGTCTCACACAAGGCTTCTGGCCCTTACTAATTCTGACAATCTCGATGAGTCGACTAGGTAAGAATCTTGGAATTGGCCTGGAGCAGATTGTGTGGGATTGACATTGCCTGGTGTCGCATCTAGCTTTCCAATCTCTAATAGTTGCCGCGGTGATGTCTGACAGTGGATCTGTACTTATCGGCTTTCGAGTGAAAGACAGTCCTTCGCTCCATTTGAACTCTATATTCTTCAGTGATATGCTATAATAGCTTAGCTGGCCAGCTCACCTTGATCAGTCGTGAGATTATAAGACAGGAACTCTGGATGGCCATATCCTTTATATGACGGAGCATGGACATAGTGGTCTTTCATCGGGAATCCAAGCTTTTGGTCACTTGAGAGAGTCTTTTCCAAAGGTATCAGACCCCAGAACCTCCAATCATCAGTGTACAACTTCAAGTCGTGTGGGCTCCATTGTTCTGGGTATCCTTCTCCAAGCTGTGAAGAGAGATACTTCCCGAGGCTGCAGCCACTGCGCGCACCTTCTTGTAGATCGTCAAGACGTAAACCAGTGAATCTCATGTGGTGATGGTCCGGATAGTGCCTCGATTTCAAGTCTCTACATATGAAAACCTTTTCTAGTTCGTCACAGAGGTTGAGCTTCTGGCAGTGCAGGCAGGTATGGCCTCGGAGAAGTGAATCATCCATTTCGAGAAGAGCGAACGCGATAAGACGTCTGCACCGCAATACAGCTTGACGATGAATAAATCAGCTGGCACAGGTTTACTCCAGCCTAGGACTCAAGAATCAGAAGCTTTTGTAGAGGGTGACTCTAGGTAGAGGATAAGAACGAGAACCTTTCAGGTGCAAATTGTTTGCATATTCAGCTGGCTCTGTCTGAGTCTTTTGTCTTAGTCTTGCATAAGGTCATGTGACTGTGGACCAGTAGGATTTGTTTGTCAATAATTGAGCCTTACCACGGCGGTTAGTTTGTACATTATAATTGGCAAGTCGGGCGTATGTACATCCCCAGTGTTCTGGACCAGTCCTCGGAGGCCTCCTAGGCTGATTTCCCTTTTTGGGATCTCGGCGGACTGCACTCTAAGTCCAGCCAAGCCCTTTCAGCTCAGGCTTTAGGCCATTGGACCTTATTTCAATCATCGCGTTTACTAGTTTTCCTGCTAATCGCCTTATTGTCTGGACTGTCCCCTCCTTCTTCGCCAGCTCTTTTAATATATCGGCCTTATGGCAAGCAAAATCCATAATATAACAAGCACCTAGGTCATTAATAGCTGCCTTAAATGCCTTATAACCAAAAAAGGCCAGCTTAATATAAACTATATCTAGAATAGTTTTAAGTTTAAAGTAGGCTTTAGTAAAAGATTAAAGGTTATTAACCTTTATAAGGTCTTTAAAGCTATACTACTTTTTAATCTACTATTTACTTATATATAAAAAAGCATTATATATAATGAAAAGTCTTTAAATATATACTTAAGCCTTTTAGCTTATATAATCCTTATTAATAATAGTTTAATTTACTATAAATATACTATTTATAAAGTTATATTATAGTATATATATAGAGATATAAACTTAAGGTTATATCCTTTTATATATCTCTTAATCTCTTTACTTTATAATACCTTAAGGCTTATAGTAAGATATAATAGTTATTATAAAAGCTTTTAGGTAAAAGCTTATATTAAGAAAAAAAAATACTGTATTCTTATTTATTACCTATATTTACAGCCTAAAGGTTAACCTTATAGGCGGCAGTTATCCCTGTAGTCTGGACCGTCCAATCAGCACCATCTCCAAGGAAAGATGATAAGCCTTAGTATAACTATATATGTCATGTATTTCTAATATGTCTCTCTATCCCCAGAGAATTCAAAAATTTTCTCCAATGTTAATTTTCACTCCCCCACACTGACTTCAACAGCTCATCAACCTTTATAAATTTATAATTAGGGAAAACCTGATTCCATTCATCCGAGACAGTCCAAGCTCCACGATGGAACGCAGTAAGTGTCCCGATAACCACCATCTTTGAGAAAGCTTCCACCTGGTCCTGAGGAACTGACGGCAGTGGAAGTCTTGGATAGTTATCTGTCTTCAGTTCCCCAGCGGCGAGATCCTCCATCTTGAGCCACTCAATAGTGAAAGGTTCTCCTTCGTGAAGTCAGTACCTTCCTCTCCTTTAGTTCTGTCAGCATACTTACCTCGTACTTCTTCTCCAATTTTCAGGAGCTGGCGAATAGAAATTCGATCACCGCTCATACCTCCAACCACTGGCCATTCACCTTCAAAGTCAATAGCCTGTGTGACGATGTTGGCAATGTCATTGACACTTGTATAGGTGATCTCGTCGTCGAGTGTACCTTCGACAACAATCGCATGTTTCTTGACGAAGTCGACGTTGACGACGGTAGTGGTGATGTACTTTGCAGTCTTGTATGGATGGCAAAGGTAATCCATAAAGCCACCAGGCTGGAACAGTGTATACTCGATAACCTTATTGATCTAATCAGCCTCTGTAATGGAGAGGATATCTTGAATATGCTACCTTTTTATCAGAGTTCAAGCTCTTGAGATATTCTCTGATCTCGATCTTGCCGCTGTACCATGACATGACATCAAGAGAGTCTGCCAACTTGGCCCCTCTAAAGCATAGTCAGTTGCAATGATACTTGTCACTACTTTCTGGGAAGCTTACGTTGCCCACTCAGATGGAGCGAACCTCTTCACGCCAGCCTCAACGGCTGCGTCAATAAGTCGTTTCTGGGTCTCATTTCCCGGATCCAAGTGGACTGCAAGGAACGAGAGGACGGTTTCAACGCCGCGGAATAAATTCACAAGCTCCGACTTGTTGTCGTAATCAGTTTTAATCCAAGAGATTCCCGGGAGCTCAGGAAATGTCGATGGGTCCTAGGTCTGTCAGTCGCCAGTTCAAACAAGCGGGTCATGGTCCAGATGTACCTTACGGACGAGTGCAGTAATATCATGCTTTCCAGTAGCGACAAGCCTGTCGAGAATCTCTCTGGCGAGCTCTAAAAACGGTCAATAACTTTAGGACTGAGTTGATAAAGCTAAACATACCGCTAGAAGCTCCTGCGATAGCAATTTTGACCATATTGAATGACTTGTAAGTGAGATGTATTTGGGAATTCTGTGATTCTCATGTATTTTTGTGAAGCGGAACGACCCTCATTTTATAGATAACTCTCGGCCTTGACCGGGGATCTCTTTGTTAGTCAATTTCTGACCCCGGGCAGACATTTTATTCCGAACACGTAACCTCAACTTTTTAACCCTTTTGGCGATACTGGGTCGGCCTAAGCTGTCCCCGGCGGTTACGTGATCGGGGTAATCTGTACAAATTACCCACCCAATCAGGGCAAGGCATTTGTGCTTACTACTCCGCTTCCGTCTGACAAATACAAGATTCGGATAACAGTCTTGACAGAACGTTATATTCTTGGGCCAATGGTAGATCAAAAGGTAGCATATAAGCGACAATATGGGTGTTGCAGAACCTCAAGATGAGTTGACGGTGAGTTTCCTCGAATCGACTCCATGCAGGCGCTTACATGGGCTTCCAGCGTCGTCGTGAGCGAGGCCGCCGCTCCCAAGCAGCTTTTCGCAAGCGACAGGCCCAGTCAAACCACGCGCTGGCGGATCAAAATGCGCGTCTGAAGCAGGGCATTCAGAAACTACTAGATGTAGCTCAAGGTGATGAACGACAAGAAATGCTTGACATCCTTCGTGAGCTTGCACTTGCTGCTGATATCGAAGCTCCACCCAGCGTTTCCCAGATAGAAACAGTCTGTCCTAGCACTGGGCCTTCAGATAGCGACATCATCACTACAGACGCAACCAGCTTCCAGAGCTTCAGCAGCATTTCTCTCCCAATAAGCCCCCCACAATCGACCCAATATCGTCTGGAGTGCAGCATGTGGCTAGACCCATTACATTACCTACGCGTCTCGTTACCGCCTCAAGACATCTTGCCATACCTGGGAACCGGTGCCGAGACCTTTGCAGGCCTTCTATTCTGGTCAGTCATGGAACATTACCAAACAGTATGCACGCAACACAACTCCAAAGCACTCATCCAAAAAGGCCTGGAGCATTCAAAAGCTACGCAGGATATCAAGCCGTCTTTCATCGAGACCATGGCAAAGGCAAGAGTCGAGTATAAACAAACGGGCTCCATTAGCCAAGCCTATGCCGTCGCCGCTGAAAAGGATCTGGGACTTGTACTGTGTAATCTAATAGAAACAGAGTATCGCTCTACGGGCAAGGATCCAGACCAGTGGCTATCGTGTATTGGTATTGAGAAACGGCTCAGGAAGACAATGAGTCACGATGAATTAGAGAACATGAGAAAGGCTGCGCTTGTACGAGATAACACAGTCTTGCGCCATCTACTGGAAGACGTTAAGTGCAGGCTGTATGATAGCTGTGTCTGTTTTGGGGATGGTCCTCGATGGGATGTAAAGATGGTTGATGAGCTATTCGCTCCTTTTATAAGATATAGAGGAGAAAAGAACCTGTTAAAATGAAAGGAGGCACTTTTCGGTAATCACTCTTGATCTCATCATCTTCGTGTCCTTGTTGAATTGGGCGACTACTTCTGAGCGACAAAGTATTAGTGGTTTAATGCTCTATAGCTCAACTTTCAGTATGTCTTCGAGGCTAGACAAACGTTACTAGTTCAATTGGTACATAGTAGATCTCTGGCCTTTTGTACTAGATATGGCGACTAAGAATGACCGTTTGTGGAGTCAGTCACGAGGCCATCATCCTTGAACTTATAACGTTCCTCCAGATCCCAATACTTATTGAATCCAACGCCCTCACAAACTTCGTTGTATGAAAGTATCATAGGCGGCTTTCCAACGGTCATACTCTTTTTCAGTTCTTCCAGTGTCTCGCGAATACTCTTGAGCTTCGCAGCGACAAGCGTCCAGGGATAAGCCACAGCACAGAATCCCAGTTCTGCAAGGTCCTTTGCAGACAGATTCTCAGTCTTTCCTCCTTCGATGACTAACACCATAAGTTAGCACGATTCATATGATTTGAGGAGAACTTCAGCCAACGGACATAACTTACTGTTTGCAAATGTGGGGATGCCAATCTCCTCTACACATCGACGCATAGACTCACGATCGGGAAGGGCCTCGACAAAAACGGCATCGACACCGATCCTCTTGAATTCCTTCGCACGGCTCAAAGCTTCTTCCCAGCCATGGATCAGCGCGTCGGTTCTAGCTAGGATAAAAATATCTTTGCCTTGATCACGAGCGTCACAAGCAGCCTGGATACGGGCGTATGCTTCACCACGAGAGACCACAGACTTTCCCTTGGTATGACCACAGCCTAAGGCAGTTAGCTTTACATGATTCTATTGCAGGAAGGGCTGTCGCAAGACTTACGCTTTGGCCATGTTTGATCCTCAATCATGATTCCAGCCGCGCCGGCGTGGGCATAACTCTCCACGGTTCGTTTAACGTTCAGCGGGCTGCCGTAGCCTGTATCTCCATCTGCCATAACAGGCACAGAGACCTGCCTTACAGTTTCCTGAATCTTATCGCATACCTCAGCCATAGCGATATAACCAGTGTCAGGAAGACCGTAGGCACTAGATACAGCATACCCAGCGAGGAAGATCATTGGAAAACCAGCTTCCTCACAGAGTCGTGATGAAAGACCATCGTAGCTGCAGCAATGGGCGAGAATCTTTGTAGGATCATTGTGGGCTTCAAGCATCATGGTGCGAAGGGCTGAGGCGTGGACAGATGGGATCTTGCCGCGGACATTCTTCAGAGTGCCAGTTACATCCGCGATCTGTCCGGGCTTGCCAGGCTTTTGCAGGGTTGGGGGGTTGAACTGGAAGGGGTAGGGGGTGCTGTTGACGATTGACTTGGACATTGTGAATGGGAGTATTTGATGCTGATATGTGTTGTTTGGATGTTGAGATGGTTGATGATAATCAGTAGAAACGGGGACGTTTGCTGAACATCTTATATACGTAAAGTCTAGATAGGCAAAGGTTCGGCGCTGGTTGGGATCCGGATATGCACGGAAAGTGACGGATACTCCGCTATCCGGAGCATGCTCTGCTCCGGATCTAACGATATTCCCCCGGATAGTTCTCAGAAAACCTGGGGTATGCGGGGACCCCGCATCTTGGATCTGGTTCCGAGATCAGATGCACCCCTTTCTGCGAGCTACAAACCTTGAGTCCCGGAGACTGACGGGATCTGTCGATGATATGGTCAAAGCGCTTCAAGATCGATAGCCCATCTCTCGACTACTAAAACCCACTGAAATCCTCGAGAAGGATCCATCCCCAACTCTCAATCCATCAAGTTTTGTCTCCATCTCTAATTCGCCTTTCGGTACACTGTCATGATGAATCACCTAGAGTCTGAACACAAGATGTCCTTGGGCACGGAGGAACTTGAACATGCAACAGAAGACCAGGAACAGCAACGCGTTGATGTTCCCGAGGAGGCCAATAAGCGTATCAAGAATACAGTAAGCTACTACCAATGCTACATATAACATCTGTCCTAACAGTTATCTAGTTTGACCGCCGTCTTCTCCCCATCGTCTGCTGCCTATACATCCTATCCTATCTCGACCGAGGAAATATCGGCAACGCCAAAACCGCCGGCGCAAAAGATGACCTTGGTCTCAGCGACTCTGAGTGGGCTTGGGTCCTAAACGCGTTCTACATCTGCTACGTTTGCTTCGAGTGGACCAGCCTTTTCTGGAAGATCCTCCCCGCGAGCAAATACGTCGCCGGGCTTTGCGTTTGGTAAGCAAGGCTGTATCTCAATAACCATGGTTGGCACTAACAGTGTGTCTCTTGTAGTTGGGGAACGGCAGCCATGTGTGCCGGTGCTGTGCATAACCTCGGTGGGCTTATTGCTTGCCGGGCGCTGCTTGGTGTATTTGAGGCTGCATTTGGTGCTGGTGCCCCGTATTTCCTGTCTTTGTTTTACCGTCGTGATGAGCTCGGTTTTCGTGTTTCTCTCCTCCTGGGGATGTCGCCGTTGGCGAATTGCTTCGCTTCTGCATTGGCGTACGGAATCACGCATATCAGTGGCTCACTGGAGCCTTGGAGATATCTCTTTATCATCGGTAAGTGGCAACATGCTCATAACCCTCTGTGTTACAGCTTTCTGACTAGTCTGTTATAGAGGGCGCTCCCACTGTAGCCTTCTCCCTCGTCGCTTGGTTCTTCTTAGCAGATTCCCCAGACAAAGCCAAATACCTATCCGAGAAAGATGCCACCTACGCTGTAGAACGGCTCCAGGTCCGCGATCGCACCAAGAAGACTGGAGTTCGCTGGAACCAAATATTTGCTGGCCTTAGAGACTACCAAAACTATATCCATACCGTCATCCATTTCTGCTGTAACTATTCTTTCGCCGGCCTTTCCAACTTTCTTCCGACGATTGTCCGCGATATGGGATATTCATCCGTCACGGCACAGGGCCTCACGGCACCACCATACTTTCTAGCCTTCCTCTGCTGCGTGCTGGCAGCTTTGGTGAGCGATAGGTATGGCAAGAGAGGATATGTTGTCGGCGGCAGCGCGTTCATTGGATTTATTGGCTACCTCATGTTGGTCGTTGTTCAAGATGAGTCTAATAAGGCAACGCGATATGCCGCCATATTTCTTGCGTCTTGTGGAGTATTTCCTGCGCTCGCCATCAACATCACCTGGCTGCTTAACAATCAGGGAGGAGACTCGAAGAAGGGTGCGGGACTAGCGATTCTAGCTACCTTTGGTCAATGCTCTTCTTTTGTCAGCAGTGTTGTATTTCCCAGTTCTGACGGGTGAGTCTCCCTGTTGCTCATTTCGAAACCTCATAATTGGGCGTGCGTATACTAACACAATGCTTGAACAGACCTCTCTACCTTCGTGGCACTGCCATTGGCTGTGGATTGACCGGACTGATCTCTGTCCTTGCATTGGGCCTGCACTTTGCTTTGGAACATGAGAACAAGAGAAGGGACCGGGAATATGGCCCCGTCGATTCCGATATGGCTGTTGATGTTACTGAGCTTGGTGACAAGAACAAGAACTTCCGCTACCTCACATAACATAGTGGTTGTTCTGGTTTGTTAGGATGATGTACAATTCTTCGACTAAGTTGGCCTGCTTGAGCGTGATCCATTCCATAGTGAGTTAGTTATTCTTTTCAACAGTACAAGATGCGAGCACTGCAATATTACAATCATAAGCTCGGCCTTTCTTCGTTGATAAATCATGTGCGCCCTGTTGCAGAGAATCATCGCGTAGTCAATCTTTGTTATCTTTAGTGTTCATTCGGAAGCCATTACCCGGCTAAGATTTCTCATGTCGCCCCAAAACAAACCTGGACTTAGCTCGTCTTTCCCCCGCACGACGCCAAGCTAGCCTCATGAATTAGTCCGTCGCTAAATGATTAGCGACATTCGGCAAAGAGATACTTATATACGTCATCATCCGCCACTTTCCGATTCTCAGGATTCTCGGACAATCGACCCTCAGGCAACTCCCTTCACGCAGAAAAGCACCCATGGACGCTGACGCACAAACCCAGCCCACTTTGCCCGATAGTGGTGGTCCCTCTCGCAGACGGCGCGTGCGTGATTTCCGCCGGGGCTACCACGCTTGCGAGTTGTGTCGGAAGAAGAAGATCCGCTGCATCGTGGACAAACCTGGCGCGTCATGTTTGAGATGTCAACGAGAAGTCAAAGAATGCGTGTTCAGTGATGAGCGCTCTCATCGGAAAAGGAGCAAGACTCTCGATAGGAGAGGATCATCGGATCAAGGTAGGTGTCTCTATCTCTAGCCTCAGCCCCTGTATCCATCTCTTCACCCTTTGCAATTTTGCTAATGTGGTATTGTCTCCTGCCAGCTGTGGGTTCAGAACATGGTGTTACAATGGCCAGTACCTCGCTGGCTCAAGCCAATATGAGCCGAGACACATTTACGGAAGAGCCATCACAGATGCTCGACGATAGCAATGACTTGACATTCCCAGACATTTCTATACCAGTGCGTAGTGGACTGCACGAACGCCAGCAGCAAGCTGTAATGAACGAAGCTTCACCGTCTATAAGCTCCACTGGACCTGCATGTGAAATCACTACTACACTTGTTTCCAACGGTAACGACGCGCTGCGGCTTTTGTACCAGCCTGCGATCGAACACGCGAACAGGGATGGTGCCTCACCGAACAATCAAGGGCCTATGACGCGGCATACACTGCATCGTACCGCGGAGACGTTGAGTCCTGGAACAACTGCCTCCGTCATGGCATCTAGACCCAACCACAGTTCCCCCGTTTCTCTCAGTCCCTTGACAGTATGGCGGGCTTTCCGGTTTGTCAGAATGGGCTGGTTCACGGCCGAAGAAGCAGTCAACTACGTTGACCTGTAAGTACCATCGTTCCAAATGAAAGCAAGATCATAACTCACTATCTCATTGTCAGATTTCAGCAAAACCTAGCGCCACTATCTCCCGTGTCGAGAGGCTTTGACCTAAGCCACGAAAAACACTACAAGCTAATCACACAGGAGCCTCTCCTCTGCTGTGTCATCCTCATGATATCATCCCGATACCACGTCTTGAGTGGCCACGGCGGTCTGGCCAGGAGCACTATTGTCCACCATCGATTATGGGAGCACTGTCAGCATCTCGTCATGAGGATTATCTTTGGCCAAGAAAAGCGATCCAAAGCCAAGACAAGAACCCGAGGATCCATAGAAGCTCTGTTGCTGATCATAGAGTGGCACCCGCAAGCGATACATCTACCGCCGGCTTCAGACGGCTGGGACTCATCTACTTTGCTCACCGACTTCGATCCCCGGGATGATCAATTCGACAATCAGGCAGACACTACTGACGACAACGAAGCTCAGTGGCTTAGAGATGTTATACTACCCGCCAAAACCTCGGATCGTATGTCTTGGATGTTACTAGGCTGTGTGCAGTCCTTGGCTCTCGAACTTGGTCTCTGCGATGATGGCGAAAGAGGTGATACATCTGCAAAACCACCGGGATTCAAAGCCCAGCAGACACGATTACGCGATCTGCTTTATATATTTCTGGAGCAGCAGTCCAGTCGACTAGGATGTCCTTCTATGATGCCCACTTCTGTGTCGCGCTTTATGTCAGAGTCTTCCAGAAGAGACGAGCAAGGCGACTCGGCTATAGTAATAGCATGGCTTGACTTGACCAATCTTACACGAACAATGATCGATGTTCTGTGTCCTTCGGCGACAGGGATTCGAGAGATTCTTGGTAGTTGTAGATACGTCAACATCATCAAGCACTTCCAGAAACAGCTGGCAGGATGGAAGACAACCCACCTCAGCCACGAGAGTACGCCATGCCCACTTCATTCTCAGATCGTTCTGTGCTAACGGCTTCTCACTTCAGATTTATGTCCTCATGCTTACGAAGACTTGGCCATTGAGTTCAATTATCTGCGGGCTTTTATGAACTCGTTTGGAATTCAGGCCGCCGTTGATCGAGTTCTTGGTAAAAGACCGCCAAATTCCATCGACACCGATGTTCTTCAGTCGTCTATCACTGCAATAGACTACTCCTTCATCAGAGAAGTTATAGACTCATCATGCCAGGCTCTCGAATCGGTCAACAGGCTTTTCGAGGCTGGTACGCTCCGATTCTGCCCTGTTCGAGTATTCCTCCGCATCATCATGGTTTCTATTTTCCTTCTAAAAGCCCTAAGTCTTGGGATCCGAACAACAGATCTGGAGACTTCCCTTGGAATCTTGGAGAGAAGTATCCGAGGTTTGAGGAATAGTAAACTCGACGAGATGCATCTAGCTTCTAGGTATGGAGAGTTGTTGGACATGCATCTGGAGAAGTACAGGCAAAGCTTGGTCCCAACTACGATTCCTCAGGGAATACGTGCAGTAGATCAAACCTCTCAATGGATATTCGACAATAGCATGCCCCCAGTGGATGAATCACTAGGAGATCTGTCGTTGCCGGCTGTGGATAACTGGCTTGCACTGCCATTTGATCCAAGCATGGCTCCATTCGGCTTCGCCACTGATGACCCTGACATGGCCGAGCCAGAAGATAGATCATGGGATTTTTTGTGGAGCTTACCAAATGTTTAATTCTATAATTCGATCGCTATGGAAACGCAACACGATTCGAGGTTTAGCTGCCGGTCTTCAATCTCCACACCGGATTGTAGGCAGGAAGATGTGTAACCTCTCTGCGAAGAGTGTAGTGAAATTAAATGATCAATTAAAATTAAATATAGAAGCGAAAATACCCTGAATCCTCTTGCAGCATAAGTCCATTACTCATGCACTCATTCCCACCCGTCAGAAAATGCCTTCCCCAATACTTTTAGGTACCAATTCCCTAGTAGAGACCGACCAAGGCCCAGACGATGGCGACCATAGCAGTGGAGATACCAACCTGCTTGGCAGCGCCGTTGACGATGACATGTGAAGGAAGAGGAGTCGATGTAGCCTAGAGGTATCGTTAGTGGCTTATACAGGAATATAGGATGAATGGTCTCTTACAGTAACACCAACGGTTCCAACCTCATCAACAGAAGTATGGCCAGCCTCATGAGTCTTGGTAGGATTAGCAGCATGAGTAGTCTCAGCAGCGTGAGTAGCAAGAGTAGTATGCTCATGAGCTTCAGATTGCCCAGCCTCAGTAGAAGTGTGAGCCTGCTCAGTCTCCTCATGCTCATGCTCAGAGGTGGCCTCCTCCTCAGCTTCCTCAGTAGCAGTAGCCTGCTCCTCAGCCTTAGTAGTCTCAGCCTCCTCGACCGCAGTGGTAGCAGGCTTCTCGACAGCAGTAGTCGAGGGCTTAGCCTCAGCAGCAGTGGAAGAAGGCTTCTCCTCAGCGGTAGTAGAAGCAGCACCAGAGGAGCCAGAGGGGCTAGGCTTGGGGGTAAGACCGCACGACTGAGCAACTCTGCCTACGCCGCTGCCGTAGTACTTCCAGATGTCGTACGTGTTGGCGCACGACATGCAGCGGCCGTAGCGCTCGTTCCACTCATCGCTGTCGCAGTAGTCACTGTCATCGCGAGCGAGGGTGATCAAGAGACCTACACTCTGTCGTTAAAAAAGTCCTGGGAGTGATTGTGAGGGTTACTTACCGCAGTCTTCGTGGCAGGCGTACTGAGGGGTACCAGGCTGCTGACGCTTGACGAGGGGGACAGTGTCGGGGAACTCGAAGCGGGGATCAATGGCGACAGCAAGAGAGGCAGAAGCCAAAAGAGTGTAGGCAGCGAGAGAATGCATTTTGAACGAGTGAAGTCTAACGATTGGAGGACTTGGTTGATGAAGCTGTGAGTTGATGAGAAGAGACGAATGGAAGGAGGACCAAGGCTATATAGCTGCACGATCCCAATAGCACAGGCCAATTGTTCTCAGCTAAGCTTAAATCACAAGTCCTTCCCATGTCCAGCGCAAAGCAGGAAATTGCATTCCGGTCAATTATCCGTCCCATTCCGAGAACACCGAAGACCTAGCTACACCCTCAACACCACTGATTGGCCAGGCCAGCATTTCATGACCTGATGCCAAGATAAAGTGCATACTCTAGACCTGTATATCCGATATCGCACCAACTTTAATCCTCGCAGTTAGCCCCAAAGTGCTCTAGCTGCGGTCCTCGGTTAGCGCGTCGCGCCAATGGGAGCGTCGGGATGCATCAAAATCTTATCTGATCATCTGATAAGCAGGGGGAGGTTGATGTTCACCGGATTTAGGTGGCACACGATTGCCGGATGGGTCAATCAGATGTCAACGGCCAAGTCGTAGTGCATTTTCTCTTGCCTCAAAGGGTTCAGTGTGCTACTTGGCGGTTCAAAAGTCCCGCAGTGTCACATGTACCAGGTGAAGATGGTGTATCCGTGAAATGGTGTATATTACGAGCATGATTTCCCCTCATCTTTGGAAGAGAACAGTAACCACAGTCTTCTAGGAGCCTCTGCCTCGTCTTGTGCTGTTCTTGTCACTCCGTCGTCTCAGTCATCATGTTGAAGAATCTGCTCGTTCTGGCTCTGGCGTCTTTTGCCTTTGGGCAAGATGACATTCCTACGGATGCCACTGTCAAGGATGAGGACATGGGACCTGCCGCTTTCATGTGGCCCCCGGACCGTGTTTGGTCTGGGGACATGGACAACAAGGCTCCTTGCGGTTCACGAGCATCTGCTGGGAACAGAACCAACTTTCCCATGAGTACGTCAGCCTCTTAACTCATTTGTTCTTGACACGATTGTTTTGCTAGAAAATTCACTAACTTTGTTCTTTAGCTGGCGGTGCTGTCTCTCTGGTCGCTCAGGATGATTACTACAATACCAAGATCAGCATCTCGTACTCAGAAGGTCAGCAGCCTCATCTTTCAACTGTCTGTTGACAATACTGATTTACTTTGCTTTCTGTAGACCCCAAGTCCAACGATGACTTTGAAACCCTGATTCAGGAAAAGAGCATCACAGATCTCGACCCAGGTCACACCTGCGTTCAAGTCCCCGATGCCCCCTCCAAGGTCTCAGCCGGCGACAACGCAACTCTGCAGATCATCTACCGCGCAGACTGGGACGCACCTCACAACCAGACCTTCTACGCCTGCGCTGATATCACCTTTGTCACAAAGTCCGAGTTCAAGTTTGAGATTCCCTGCTTCAACGCCACTGAACCCGGTGATGATGACAAGGCAGCTGGTGCGACTGTTGGACCCAGCCCAACTGCTACTCACCCGTCTACATCTTCTGAAAGCTCTGATGCTTCTGAGGCAGAGAGCAAGTCGGGCAAGTCGAATAAGTTGAGTGGTGGAGCTATTGCTGGTATTGTTATTGGTTCTATCGCTGGTGTTGTCTTGATCGCTGGGGCGATTCTGTTCTTCTTGCGTCGTAGACAGCAGGCTAAGAGGAACTCGCGAATTGCTCGCATGGAGGATAACGCGCGCAAGCATCAATTGGCTACGGATGGTGCTTCTGGCACTAGCATCTAAAGGGATTGTTCTCAAGAACGTTCCCTGTTGCAGGATTTCTGACCGTATACGCGATGCTGGTCATGATTGGAGGATACGATAATGTAATTAGTGATCAATTCATGTAGTAACGAACATAACGTTATCCTGTTACTCCTGATGCTCCCTTTCTTTGTATCGATAACATGGCGTGATGTTCTTTGCTCTTTGCTCTGCACCTAAAGCCAGCCCCAGTTGTGGCTGGCCAAGCGTGGTAGAGGCAACGATACATCAGATGCCCAAGACAATAGCGCCCAATCCCGCAGGTCACGCTATCACGATACCTGCGTCTCCACGCGTAGAGACAACAACTTTGGCGTTCTGCCAAGACGACGGAAAGTTCGCCTAAACGTCTGTGCGGTGGGGACGGAATACGCATCATTGGCTCTGACAGGCTCCATCTAAATAGCGCGGAAATATTAGCGCTGGGTCAAAGTCGCCGCTATTGCTTGTGACATTCAACGGCGCGCGCCACTAGAGAACTTGGTCAAGCTGAGATGGGCTTGGCAGAATCAGGAAGATTCCAAGAGTTAACAATCGGTAGTTATGTTGTCTTGACTTGGCGGGACTCGGATTTTATGAGTCGGGCGCGATGTTCTGATCTGATCTGATAAGACTCGGAACAAAAGAAGCCGAGGCACCGGCTGTGACACGTGATGGGTTTGGTCCTGGACCTATTTTTAGATTGGTTCCGCTGACTAACTAAAGTTTCTCAAGCTCATGGTTCAGACGCAAAGCGGGAAGAATTGCACAGAGGCATCTCCCTCTGGTACATGCAAAACGCGGACCCAGACAACAATTTTAACAGCTACATAACTTAAAGAGCTATAACTATGAGCTTCACTGATCTTTTTACAACCAGACTCGAGACATAACAGCTGCTTTCGATCTCTTGAGCAAATCATAGTGACTCTGGCTTCAGTGACAAACTTACCCTATACATAACCATCACGTCCCGGCTGACCTTGAGCAATGGGCATTCGGATTCCCTGTCGGTTTATTTTTCCAGGCCCTAATTATATAAAGCCATATTTAACATACACTTCATTGAATTCTAATGAATTTGGTCACATTGTATTTCTCCTTCAGCTGATTTTATCGGATATCGGAACCATTATGATCCCGCTTGGGGTCGCTTCTCGGCGGGGACTTCTGACCCAGTATTTAGGAGTGTCGAGACACGTCTGGTCTGAGCATCGACTAAGCAAGGATTTTACAGATTCCACTTGGAGCGATGACATTGGCCCGATAAGCTTCAGGATAAACAGTAGCCTGTGAGCAGTTCTCCATTAGATCTGAGTCAGCAAGCTTGGACCATGAGGCTATTGTGAGATCATCCTGCTCAGGCGTCCAGCGCTGCAAATATCCAGCTCTCAAAGACATAGAGCAGTGCAAGCCAGAATCAAAATCGTTGGAAAGAGGAACAGTATGACACGCGACTGGGTGTTTTTCTTGATGTCACAGCTTCAATTTATAGGAAATTAAAGTCGGGATGAAAAAGATGCACGTTAGATACAAGATCAACTCCATGATTGGTTGCCCTACCGATTACTCTCCAGACATCCCACGTCAGCACTAATATGTTGCTGCACCTCTTATATTGAGCATATAAGTAATGCGCTGTCTTTCGAAATATTAGGCTTATTGTTATTTTCTGTGGCATATTATCATGGAAGCTCCCAAGAAGCCGTGGGTTGACGGCCCTTTTGAGCTCATCAGCGCGTCAAAAGCAGGTGACTCGGTATGAATTCTGGAAAAAGCTACTCAGCCCACGACGATACAGTTACTAATGATCCGACTCAAACATAGCTTGAAAAACGCGCTGAAGGTGCTCGAAAATGTGCTGCAGGCATGGCTGTCGTCCATAACCTATTCCTGCGCGGCGTCAACGCCATATACCTTCAAGCAATCAATGTCGCCGAGAAAGGAACGCAAAAAGACAAGGTGGACTTTGCAAGCTTCGCATGGGCGTGGAGCCAAGAAATTCAAGAACATCACGACATTGAAGAAGAAAAGATCTTTCCGGAAATCAACAGAATCACCGGTGTGCCAGGCCTCATGGACGCCAACATCGAGGAGCACCACCTATTCCACGAAGGCCTAGATCGCTTCACAACCTATATCGAGAAAGTCCGCAAAGGCAACCAAGACCTCGACGGCTCCAAGGTCAGAGAAATCATCGACTCATTCATGCCCTCCCTCACAACACACCTGCACAACGAAATCGACACCCTTGTCGGGCTCAAGAAGTACGCCGACAAGTGCGACTGGGGAGCGTGGTTCGAGAAGACAGGGGCCGAGATAGGCTCTAACGCCATGAAGAAAGCATCTCATCGGAACGAGATTCTGCCGCTGGCGTTGATTCTTCACGATAAGGACTTCGAGGGCGGCATCTGGGCGGATTTCCCTCCCCTTCCTTGGATTGCGCTCGTTGCTATTCGGTGGCTGTTTGTTCGTACGCATCAGGATTGGTGGCGGTTCGCAGGGTGTGATTCTTCGTCTAACCGACAGGATTTGCCATTTGCTTGATGTTGGCTCGAGGGTTGTTGGTTGTTGGTTCTGGGATATATAGTGGATATGTTATAATGAGACGTTACCATGATACATGACAGAGTTGCATAGAGAATAGTTGTCTCTCACTCGTAGATTGCGGTGTGACAGTGACTATACGGCCAAATACACGTGAGAAAATAATTACAATCTGGAGCAATATGTCCTCGGTATAACAGACCCCCACTCGTGTTTCACGTCTTATTACTTACGACGTTGCAGTTGACAGGAACCCTAGAGGCTTAGCTTACCGGTACCGTGATATTGGGAAGAAGGGCCGGGCTTGTCACGGGGCGAGCGGCACAGTCATGCGCGTGTTTTCTTGACAGTGTGATTTGATTTTTACTGGAATCTTCTAGGGGCGGGTGTTACCTAGCCTGTTCCCCCTAAATAGGTGCGCGCCGGCGCGGGATGATGTGACAGGGGCCGCACTGCACCGTGTGCGTGTGCGGAGAGGGGGTTGCGGATCCGAACGGTTTTAAGGCTATTGCTCGGGTATAGTCGATACGAGGTGAGTGAACTGTTGATAATGGGTGGAATGGGATATGTGTCAGCCCTATGTCTACCGAAAGCTTGGATATTTAGTATTCTGCCTTATTTCCATGATTCGGGATATGAAGCTGTGGTGGTTTAGAATGCTTGGTAGGCGATGTACACCGTTAGAAGCCGTCATCTCGCATACCCTTCTTTACGAAAATGCACCCAACGGATGCAATTTTCCCGAGCGAAACGCGCAAGGAATACCTCGACGATCATTCTGACCTGTGGACCTCTCATACCCGCTGATGTGATCTATAACATGTTGTTTTCTCAGGGACGGGGAATGACCGCGCGATATGAACATGGCCTGTAGGGTATCATTGTTGGTTCGTCAATGAGGCGATTCAACATCTCGCATCGCAGTGCTTTGACATCAGCTGATTCATGCGACCAATAAACACTGTCTCTGTTGACTCAAAGTGAGACACGGCACCTATCAGACCATCGTGATCGACGCCTCAGTATCCCAAGCTCAACGCCCAAAGAGCAATGGCGAACGGCACTGTATTCCGGTCTGTGTTTAAGCAGTTTGCAGTAAAGATATGCACAGGCCCAACGCCATTACAACCAACAGCTGCAACGCTGACCACCAGAAATACCCGGTACTGAGCCTTGTCCTGCCAAACACGCCAGTGACCCTCAATACGTGTCAGGGGTCCGAGTGCTACGCTAGCGTTGTTCTCTCGCCTTGCATGCATCCCGCCCCAAACCCAAACAAACCGTAGTCTCGGCAGTCCTACCCTCTGTATCCAGTTTCAGGAGGTAACTCTGTTCCTCTTCTGGCGTGTCTCACTGTGCAAAAAGAACGGAGACAAATCAAATACCGCAGAATCCTGGTGGAGTCATGTTGTGTTTTGTTATTTGCGAGGTGCAGTCCACTGGGAGGGGGAGGACCCTAGCTACAGGAACATATTTTCTTAACCGACGCGCAATCCCTGCATGTGAAATCCTCATTCCCTGGGGCTTGTTTTTCTCCAGTCCAACGGCTTTTTTCGCGTTTGGGGCCTGTCAGAACTGAAATGCGAGAACAACTCACCGCTCATTTCTGCCGTGTTACTATGTAACGTCGCTAACCAAATCGACATCATACGAGACAATCCTTTTAAAAGAGACAGGCCTCGGCACTTATTTATTCCCTCCTGCTTGACTAGTTTCATTTCTACCCCAATTCCAGAATTCATCCAAAAGCTCGTTCCCATCCACTAGTGTCTACAATTTGTTGACAACAGCTTCATTATGGAAACGATGGCACCTCTTCATCACGCCCTTCCCCCTCTCGAGGTCTTCGTCAGCGCTGAGGATTTTGAGAACCTTGGCATGACGCCATGGTTCAGCTACTCTGTCACTCTGCCGGAGCGACCCATTCCCAGCGCTTCGGACCGGCCCCCACTAGAGACTGAGCGTCTGCTTATCCGACCTCTCACAATGAACGACCTGGATGCATTCCATGAGCTTCGCAAACGCCCTGATATCCAGAACCACTCAACAGCTCGCGGCCGCGCAACCAAAGACAAGGACGAGACTGAACGACAACTCCATTCTCTGGTTCAGGACGACCAAAGCCACTGGTGGTTTGGCGCCTTTCTTAAATCGACCAATGAGCTCATAGGCGAGGGTGGCCTGCCAGACGTCCTAGCCATGTCGTCCTCGATCTCTGGTTGGCCAGAAGCCGAGTTCCTCATCAAACCAGAGTTCCGCCGCCAGGGATACGGTACTGAGCTCTGGACGGCAGTCATGAATTCATGGTGGGATCTACCTCGTGAGCGACGACGACACCAACTAGTCCCCGTCGTCGCACCCGGAAAAGAACCCGGCGACAAGATGGACGAGTGTGTTGTCTTCCAGTGGGAAGCCGGCAACGAAGCCGCCAAGAACTTCTTCGCAAAGGTCCT